ACGGGGCACCTGCAGCTCAGCAGTTCCCGTTATAAGGCTTATTGAGGGGGACAGAAGGAGTTTAGATTACAACTCATATGGATCCTGCAGGCAAGCTTCGCACCGCGGTTTCAGGGCTCAGGGCTTTTTGGGTTTTTGTAGACCACTTCAATCTTTATCCAACGCTGGTGTTGGATGGTTCTGTGGAGGAATTAAGTAGGGAATTGCAGATTCTGCAAGTATTCTGAGGCCTCTGTGGGACTTGTACACAGCATCAACTTGGTAGCTTTCTCCTTGTATTTTGTGGTTGCTAATTCTAGTATTTCCGATGCCGTATCAGTTTCTGTCTTCCTTGAGCACGAAGTCCCCAAACCCATGACATGTTCTTTTGAAAGAGCTTGCATATGAATCATGTAAACGAAAACCACATTATGGCAAAACGTAGCTTTTACTTGGCGCGCGAAAGAGCGCGAAAGCTCCGCGAAAGGCGCGGCGAGAGGTGGGTTTTCGGGAGAAGGAATTTAGAACAGCCCCCAAGTGAATCAGAATAGACAGTTGCATTAGAAGAATAATCAATGATATGATCGCTTGAGAGTCGTGTCCTTCCAGTACGCCAACAACACAAGAAGCACGAGAGACTCCAGATGGCTACTCTGGACAAGTTGGCGGCCTCGTGGAAGATGGAACCTCTACCAATCACCATCTCATTGGTCCAGGCCATCGCATCCAGCCTCAAGAACGGTCGCTACCGGTCATCAGCGCAGATCTTCAGCATGGCTCGACAACAGCACGTGGCACACACAGGACAACGTTTGGGAGCAGACATCGAGCAGGAGGTCCATCCGCAGCATCGAGAGGGGCCTCGGCCCCTCCACGCTCAAGGATGCCTTCATCGTCGAGGACCTCGCAGCCACCGCCGACGGCGCCACTCCACCGGAGACAACGACAGAACATTGGGCAGATTGCGTCTTCGACTGCGTCCTCGTGACCATCATCTGTTGCTGGTGGATGTTACGGGGCATCGAGGTAGCAGCAGTCAGGTGCTCACACGTGTGGTTCGAAACGACCACCTTTGGCAGAATGGCATTCTGCACCTTACCGTGCCACAAGACCGACACCGTTGGAATGTGCATCACCAGGTCACACCCATGCACGTGCTCCGACAACTTGGCAGCCCTCTGCCCTTATCATGCCTTGGAAACATTCATGAACCGCAATCACATCCCGAACACCGCCAGGAACGATGAGATGTTGTTTTATGGGCGCCAAGGTGGACCCATCAGCCACCTCGAAACCATCGAGGTCTTCAGGAAAGCCATCGCGACCACAGGCGCTGAGCTCACTCAGCCTGGACCACAAGGACTCTACAACGTTTCAACGAGCATGTCTGCAGAGTGTCGGGGTCTCAGTTCCTCACGCGGCTTGGCTACCCCCTTCGAGACGATACAACTCATCGGTCGCTGGGGCAGCGATGCAGTACGCAAGTACGTGCAGGAAGCACCACCAGTGTCCAGGATCTTCGTCACGCCCGTCCATCAACCGGACACCGACACAACGCACAGTCCGCGCCATGGTCAAAAGGTACCTGGAGGCCATCACCAGCAAGTTCTGGGTGAAGAACACCTCCACCAAAATGATCCACATCTCTGGCGCCCCGGAATTCTCAACGGAGAGCATCCATTGGCACACCTTGCGCGGTTGGCGTTACGGACATGCGCCACACGCCAAGTTCTGGTCCATCCCGGAGGGCAACCAGTGCCAGAAATGGTTCCGCGCGCAGGACAACCAGGCCATCATCGACAACAACAGCGACGAGGACAACGGTCTGGAACGTCCCGGCTGGGGCCTTTGACTAGCCTTAGGCTGGTAAACACCAAGTCTCCGACAACCACGTCGCTCAGTATAGCTTAAATAACCTTGCCCAGACATGCGTCTCGGTCCACCGTAGTTTTGGGGCTAAGTCGATTGCTCTGTAGGACCAGTAGGGCAAAAGAACAGCCGCCGGGCCATCATGGTGACAGCGGACGCAGACCTCACCGCGGCGGCAACGGAAGCCGGGATCGATATGAACACCGATCCGGTGTTGACATACCTCCGCGCCATCCGGATCACCACATCCAGCGCGATCTCCATCTACTTCCAGGACGATGCAGCAGTCACCGATTTGGTCAAGAAGATCGAGGAAAAGATCACCTACAAAGGCAACGACTACGACCTCAACGGCGAGGACGTCAACGCGGTCATAGCACAGTGGAAGGTCCTCTACGCAGAGGTGCGGAACAAGTACAAACAACGACTCTCAGCGTCGACCACACCTGGAGCATCCACGACACCAACTCCAGCGGCCACACCAGCGACCACGGACAAAGACACCATCCCTAAGACACTCCCACCAGGGGTCTACACACAACTCATCAAAGATTACAACAACATCACATTGGATAGAGAAAAACGCACTTTCCCCGAGAAAATCCTCCTCGGGGCTGACAAAGTGCTGGCTCGCGTGTACCGTGAACACCACGCATCAAAACATTACACAGCAGTGACCCTGGGCGAGATCATGTTGCAACGGGTTTTCACCTCGTTGGGGACAGTCAACTCCAACCGGAACCTGGACCTCCCAAAGGCTTCAATTTGAAGCCTTCTGAAGGCTTCAAAAACCAAAGGCTTGATGAATGAGGCAGTCAGCTCGTAAGCATTCGCGAGCCCGCAAATGGCAATGATCGCGCAAGCAAGCAGCACGGCTGCGCGCCTGGCGTGCGCCTAGCGCGCGCCTGGCGCGCGCCTGGCG